AGCTACTGAAGAGGCTTTTATGTAAAAATTCCCAACTGGAGGACAGATGAGCACATCTCTTCCAGGGATGCATATCAGATTCACCTGTAAAACTTTTTCAAACTGTACAGATCTCCTTCACTGTCTTCCCAGAGATTCTGAAATATCCCTCCACAGGGATGTAGCACCACTTAAGAACAACCACCACAGTAATCTGAAGTGGATAAAAGGATTGAGCACTGAACTTTAGATAGAGGTGGTAAGGGAGAGATGGAGAGACACCGAGTAGGAAGGGTAGAATGGCAGGGAAGCAGGGGTGGTAAGGAAGAGAGAGAAGGGTTGAGGAACAAGGAAGCCTCAACCATAGACATCTAGGCCCTCTTGTTTTGGATTGTGAATGTCAGGATGGGTATGGCGATGAAGACAATAAGGAAAATATGCATTTGGTACATGGGATGATGATGGTGATTTTCCTCACCAGTTCACTCCCCACTACTGCCCCATTCAGTCAGGTAGGCTAGCTGGCTCTGCATTATTGCTTCAGGGGCAGTGTGGAAAGCAGAAACATACAGTCAGACTTACTGGCTTTTATCTTTGTAAAACCTAAGATCACTGAGAAGATAGAGTTTGTGAGAAGATTCAGAATGATGTAAAAAAGAGAGGATAGTGATTCTGCTCAGACTAAAAAAATATTTCTTTGGGCTGGTAGAAAAAAGAGAAGTCTGTGAGTTCTGGAACAGTCAGAATCCTGGCCTGGCGTCCTGGCAGCACCACTGGGAAGAGGTAAGACCCAGAGAGGTCTGTTTTTATATTACAAAAGAAAAGGTTTGGTGAGATTAACTAACTAGCACAATGACAACAAAAATATTAAGAGGTAGAACTGGGACTTGAACTCAGTTAGCCAGGGATATCTACAGACATCGACACCTATTTTAGATATGGGAAACTAAAATTGGGTGGGAGGGGCATAGAGAACACTATAATTATGAAAAAGCAATTGCTTAACATTATATCCAATTATTCTGTAAAATAATGCCTTTATGACTTGAGAATAAGGTCAGCTTTCTTACAAGTTTTTGTCTAGGGATGATCTTACACCAGTCTAAATGTCCTGGGAGTTTTTCATCTCAACCTGGCCCAAACCTGGCCCATAAAATTTCCTGTGGACAGAAATGGCCTTGGAGATTAGAGACAATCTATCATTTTCTTTAGTTTTCTTCCTTTTCATGATTTCATGCCACAAATCCAATTCTAATACCTAGAAAATACTTCCGAGCTGGCTCAGAGTCACTCACCATCCAGCTTTTTCAGTTTGGGCACTCTTTTGGTTGCCTCTTCAATCCAGTTCCCCTCAGCAGACTGTTTCTCTTCCAAGGGATTGCCTACAAATACCAGGTCTTCCAGGCATGGAAGTTCTGCCAGCTTCACAAATTCAGCTGCAAGTACAAAGAATGCATTCCACATTAAAATGGCAAGTTTCCTTGTTATGATTTTTGAGGGTGAATTCCAGTATCACTGTTTGTGACTATTCAGAATAATTTGTTGTTTAAGATTTTGAAGTTAGACCATGTGAAGTCATTTTCCGAAAACATTACAGAAAAGGAGAGAAAAAGAAGACCTATACCTCTTCTACTTTTACACTAGCCTAAGGATAGAATAGAACAAGGAAATGAGGTTCAGAATCAAAAAGAACAGATCATTCTCCAGTGGCAGGTCTCTACGCTCTATTGCATTAGTATGAGCTAAGCTAAACTGCTTTTGTCTCTACCCCTTCCCTCACCTTTGAATTCTTAAAGCAACTCATTGAAGCTTCTACTGTAGGACTTATCACACAGTTTTATAATTGTTAGCTTATAAACTAACCTTCTCCACTAAGCTGTGACCTCCTTAAGGGCAGGGATAGTGTCCTATTCAACAATGTTTCTCAAGAGTCTGGCATATAGTTCATGACACATAATAGGGCTTTAGAAAATGCTGAATAAATAATGTACAATAAAGCAAAACAATATCGATGTCAAATAAGTCTTCCACCCCAAAATTGTTACATTTAAACTGATTTCTTTCAGCCTTTAGATAATAATTTAAATGTTTTCATTATTAATAGGACCAAGATCTATTCTATTATAATCATTCTAATTAAATATCAAAATATAAATTTCAAGCATTTAGCTGAAATATAGGAACTCCTATAGCTATTTCCCTCTGTGCTTAGAAATAAATGTCTCCATTTGGCATCTTGTTCTCTATTAGGCTATTTTCTATAAACAGGGGGTAGAAGATTAGGAAAGAGCCAGCCTCAGCTTACCCCAGTCTTTTACCAGGTTATTAGACATGTAGAGGATCTTCAATTTCTTCATTACATGGATCCCTTTCAACTTCTCAATAAAATTGTAGGAGATCCACAGTTCTTCTAACGTGTCCCCTACTGCTTCCTGAAAAAAAGAAAGCAATTTGACTTACATGCTTATTTTTAAGCTTTTCCTTCTGTTCTCCTTCCTTATAAAGACGATAGCCTTCAGAGAGAACTGAGACTCACCTGTCCACTGGCAAAAGAGTTAAAGGTTGTGTAGCAGTTTTTTCTTATTAAGAAAGCCAAGTAGAACATTCTCTTCCTTGCTTCAAACTGATCTGAACTAAGAATAGCTACTGAAATCACTAAGAAGGAAAATAATAGCACTATTTTATCACTTTTATTGAATGGTATAGTTTTCAAATTACTTCCCTATACATTATATTATTTGATCCTTATAACATTCAAGATAGGCAAAGTAAGTTATTTGATTATTTGATTATAGAGAGATTAAAGGCTTTTTCTCTTAAACAGTAGAGCTAGGTCTAAATTTCAGAGTTTTTTCCCCTGATATTTATTGTGGAAACTTTCAAACAACAACAAAAAGCTTAAAGAATTTTATAGTAAATACCACTACCCAGATTCTACCATTATTACTTTATTATCCTTTTCCTATCACATATTTATCTATCCATCCTGCTATCTATTTAAATCGATTCATCTTTTTTTTTTTTTGATGTACAAAATTCAGTTGAAAACCCACAATCCATTATCATATAAAGATTACATCATACTCTTAAATGACAGATATATTTAATGGTAGCACAAAGACTTCCTTCTTTAATAGTCATAAGACAAAATGTAGTGATTTCTTTAAAAAAAAAAAAAATACTAGGCAGGACCAATTAATTGTTCAATCTCCTCTTAACCCAAAAGAATTTACCTACGACCACATGGTAATGATTAGAATGTGGGGTCCACATCTATGTCCTGGTAACTGTGCCTTCAAAGACTATAGAGAATAAACGTGCACTGAATAAAAATCCTTAACACATGCACTTTTCATACTGGTGGAACCAAGACGAAAAACTGAGAATGGAGTGGCCTGAGTTAGTGCTGTCTGTCATCCCAACTCCCATAATTTGTCTCAGTGTCACTTTCTGAGTAGAAGAAACAACAGTTTAGAGTAAAAGAAACTTTTAAATCAGTCCATCCTGGCATTCTTAGGTCAGAACTTTGTGATTTAACTAAATCCCCTTGGCTAGTATTCTGATATCTCCTCCCAAAGGATCTAATGAGTATATCATATGTGTCTTTCAGAAGAATAGAATGTCTTTACATAATTTAAACTTTCTTGCATATATTTCATTGCACTGTATCCCCATCCACTTCCTGTCTCCAATTTAGAAAGTATGAGGTAGCAGTAAAAAAGACTGGAAGATTTAGGTTTAATTCTGGGTTCTCCCACTTATTTAGTGTTGTTTTACATGTGCAGATGAGGACTCTTGGTCAGTTTTCACATAGCAAATTTGATCAGTTCTTCAAACAGCCAACTTGCTGAATTTATACTTTTACTGATTTACTGAAACATTGTTAACTTACAAATTATGGTAATTTGTTTTAAATAGGATAGGATAGAAATTCCTTTAGGTACAGTAACTTTGAAGCTGTCTGTAATGTTTTGTTCACTCATTTGAAGTCAACTTAGCTTTAATTTAGTTTTCAGCCATTTGGATTCTATTACCAAGACACTTCATAACCATGAAATTTGCAATAACCAAATTTCAGTGCGTCTAGGGACTTTACTTGGCAATATGACTTTGCAGAATGAGAATTTCTTATGCATACTGACTTACAATGTTGTATAAACTTTGAATGTCCAGGGTATAGTTTTATCTTCTAACACATGGTCAATCTATTCCACTATCTTTTGTACGTCCCTAAATTTAGGGATTTGCTAACCAGTTCTATTGATTACTATTTTTATGTGGTTTAATCATTTGAGAAGTGATCAGTGGCTAAAATATGAAACTGACATTCTACAAAGATGGACTGACAAATCCAACATCTGGACGAAATAGCTGTAGTAATATTAACACTGAATAAAAACTTAAATTTCAAAATGTGTTGAAAACATTCCAACCAACACAATTTTCTATATATTTATAAGCAGGTAATAAAGACAAGATTTTGGTGAAGCAACCTAGTGAATATCAATCCATAAGATCTGGCAAGTTTGATGAATCAATTCAGTGAAATCTGTCCTTCAATAAACTGGCCCTTTGGAGAACTGTACATTCAGTGAACAAGCATTTAGAAAATTGGTCTGCTTCTACATATGAACAAATAATTTCTCTTTAGTTTCTTACTCTGTAAAATGAGGAGGCTGGCACAACGAGAGACCACCTCATACCTATTAGGATGGCTACTATCAAACAGCCATAAATTAAGTAGTGTTGACAAGGATATGGAGAAATTGGAACTCTTGTGCACTGTTGGTAGAAATGTAAAATGGTGCAGCTACTATGGAACAGTTTGGCAGTTCCTCTAAAAACCAAACATATATAATCCAGCAATCCTGCTTCCAGACATATACCCAAAAGAATTGAAAGAAGGGTTTCAAAGAGATATTTGGATACTCATATTCATAGCAGCATTATTTATAATGGCCAAAAGGTGGAAACAACCCAAGTGCCATTGATGGATGAATGGATAAACAAAATATGGTATATACATACAACAGAATATTACTCATCCTCAAAAAAAAAAAAAAGAAATTCTGATATTTGCTACAACATGGATGAAATTTATATACTGATATGGTGGAAAACTATACAGCTCTTAAAAAAGAATGCATTAAATTTGCATGTTTCATATGGAAGGATATTCCTGATATATTAAATGAAAAAGCAGAAAAAAATACTAGTGCTGTACATTATCAGTACAAATATATATAACACACACAGATGCATAAGCACACACATAGATATCTATTTATTTATTTTTTCTATTTATTTGTATGTGCAGAAAAAACAATGTTAAAGTATACAAAACAATATTGTTTCTGTTACCATGGAGTTGAGGAGGTAGGTAGGGATTTCCACAGTGTATTTCATATATTTATAAATTGCTTGATATGTTTTTTTACAATTAATATGTATTACTCTTAGAATTAAAATTTTAACCTAATAGTTTTTGTAGTTAGTAAAAAAATACATTGAGTCATTCAGTAAATACTTATAGAGTGCCAATTACATGTATGAGGCACTAATGTAGATGCTGATAAAACTGACATGCTCATTAGGATCCATGTACTCACATAACAGAGAGACAGAGACAGTGAGAGAGAACAAATAAATAAGAATTTCAGATAGTACTGAGAGAGATGAAAAAAATTATAAGTGGTAAGAGTTATTGTTTAAAAGGCTACTTTAGATATAAGGTAGACGGGTCACTTTTGAGGTGGTGACATTAGAGCTGAAGTGTGAAGGTTAAGAAGGAGACAGTGAGAACCATATGATTTCACTCATATGTGGGATATAAAACTGAAAGCAATGAACAAACAAGACAAACAATAAACTGATAGGCACAGACAAGAGTTTAGTGGTTATCAGAGAGAAAGAGGGGAGAAGGGAGGGAGATAAGGGTAAAGGGGATCAAATATATGGTGACGGAAGGAGGTTTGACTTTGGGTGGTGAACATACAATGCAAAAGACATATGATGTATTATTGAATTGCACACTTGAAACCTATAAAATCTTATTAACCAATGTCACCCAATAAATTTAATTTAAAAAACTGAAAAACAAAATTAAAATTTTTTTAAAAAGGAGACAGTAATGTGGAAATCTGAAATAACAGAGTTTTTAAGGCAGAGGAAAATGCAAGTACAAAGGTCCTCAGGTGGGAATGGACTTGGCATGTTCCAGGAAAAAAGAAGGCCAGTGGCTGGAAATTACCAACTAGGAAGAAGAGTAATATGAAATGAGATCCAAAAGGAAGGTATAGGCCAGATCACATATACAAATGGGCTTATAATGTACTTTAATCATCAGTTTTCCTAAGTAGTTTTAAATAGATCCCTTTCCTTCAATTTAACATTCCACGTTTCACATGTTAGAGTAGTCATGTGTAACTTACCGAGGCAGCTATTTAAATCATGCTCTGTGTGGCTGCTATGTCTGGATGAATAAATCAGTATGTAAACCTATTTGAAGCCCAGCATATGTAGATTTATTTTTCCTTAGTCTACGCGTAAGTGGTAAAATGTTGACTTTGGTAAATGTATGGTATGTGTATACACACACACACATCCACACATCCTAGGAAGAAAACTAACCATTGGGTATTACTGATAGTCTACAGAAAGTGAACAGAACTAAGCAAGTCAAGGTTCAGCTCGATAATATCTCTGTACATGCCTTTAACCCTATATTTACAATTTCTTTGTGGTTTCTAGATATATATTACATTTCGTGGGAGCAATATTTGAGAATCTTTCTCTGACTTATTTCACTTAGCATAGTACCCTCTAGGTCCATCAATGCTGTTGTAGACAGCAAGATTTCATTCTTTTTTATGGCTGAGTAATATTTCATTGCATGTATGTACCACTTCTTTATCCATCCATCTATTTTTTTTTTTAACACCTACAGCACCTGATATTCCTAGGTGGTCTCCCATCCAAGTACTAACCAGGCCTGACCCTGCTTAGCTTCCGCGATCAGACGAGATCGGGCACGTTCAGGGTGGCATGGCCGTAGACTTATCCATCCAACTATTGATGGACACTTAGATTGCTGCCATATCTCAACTATTGTAAATAATGCTTCAATGAACATATGGAGTTAGTGTTTGGGGTTTCTTCAGATAAATAACCGGAAGTGTAATTGCTGGGTCCTTCTTTGTCTTATTTTAGCCTTTGTTTTAAAGTCTATTTTATCTAGTATAAGTATTGCTACCCCACCTTTTTTTAATTTCCTTTTTCATGAAATATCTTTTTCTATCCTTTTACTTTGTCTGTGTGTGTCTTTCAATCTACAGCATGTCTCTTGTAGGCAGCATACCGAAGGGTCTTTTTTCCTTATTCATTCAGCCACCCCATGTCTTTTAATTGTAGCATTTATTTAAATTTAAAGTGATTGTCGATAGATATGTAGTTATTTCATTTTTATTATTCACATTTTTATCTTCTTATAAAAGTCCTTTAACATTTCTTGTAATACTGGTTTGATGGTGATGAACTCCTTTAGCTTCTTCTCATCTGGGAAACTCTATTTGTCCTTTGATTCTAAATGATAACTTTTCTGAGTAGAGTAAACTTGGTTATAGGACCTTGCTTTTCATCACTTTGAATATTTCATGCCAGTCCCTTCTGGCCTGCAAAGTTTCTATTGAGCAATCAGCTGACAGTCTTACAAGAGCTCCCTTGTAGCTAACTAAATGCTCTTCTCTTGCTACTTTTTAAGATTCTCTCTTTATCTTTAAACTTTGCCATTTTAATAATGATGTGTCTTGGTTGGTGTGGTCTTCTCTGGAATCATTTTGTTTGGGACTCCCTGTGCTTCCTGGGCTTGTATGTCTAGTTCTTTCACCAAGTTATTTCCATTATTATTTCTTCAAATAGGTATGCAATTCCTTGCTCTCTCTTCTCCTTCTGGTACCTCTATGATATGAATGTCGGTATGCTTGATATTGTCCCAGAGGCCTTTTAAACTACGCTCATTTTTTTGGATTCTTTTTTTCTTTTTGCTGTTATGATTGGGTGTTTTCTGCGTCTTTGTCTTACAAATTGCTGAATCGACCCTCTGCTTCATCTGATCTACAGTTGATTATAATGTATTCTTCATTTCAGTTGTGTTCTTCATTTCTAACTGGTTTGTTTTTATGTCATCTATCTCCATCCATTTTTATATTTTCTATCTCTTTGTTGACATTTTCACTGAGCTCACTGAACATCCTATAACCGGTGTTTTGAATTCTACACCTGGTATATTGCTTGTCTACATTGTGTCTAGTTCTTTTTCTAGAGTTTTCTTTTCTAATTTTTATTTAGTTTCAAGTATACAGTACATTGGTTAGACTGCTATATAGTTCATAAAACAATCCCCCTAATTGCACCTTCCCTCCCATGACCTTCCACCTAGCCAACGTATTAATGCTAACTGCATTCCCTACGCCGTGCTCCCCATCCCCGTGACCATCCATCACCTACTAATTTGTACTTCTTTAGCTCTTCATCCCATTCTCCCAGCCCCCCAAACCCTCCTCCCCTCCGTCCGACACCAAATTGTCCACTATATTTGTGAGTCTGTTTTGATTAGTTTGTTCTTTTTATTCTTTAGATTCCACATATAAGTGAAATCATATAGTGTCTATCTTCCTTTGTCTGACTTAAATAACTTCTAGGTCCATCAAAGCAATGTCTTTTTCCATCTCCTTCCTTTTCATATGTAAGAGTCTTGTTTTATTATCCTTTCGACCACTCTATCTTTTGGTTGAATCACTTGATTCTTTTCCATTTAAGATACTTATTGATAGGAATGTAGTTGTTATTATGCTTTTTTTTTTTACGCCTACAGCACCTGGTATTCCTAGGTGGTCTCCCATCTAAGTACTAACCAGGCCCAACCGTGCTTAGCTTCCAATCAGACGAGATCAGGCACATTCAGGATGGCATGGCTGTAGACTGTTACCATTCTTTATTCCTGTTTTTGATACATGTTTTTCCTTTTTTAAAGAAATCCCTCCAACATTTCCTGTAAAACTGGCTTGGTGGTGATAAATTACTTTAGCTTATTTTTGTTTGAGATGCTCTTTATCTGCCCTTCAACTCTAAATGATAGCTTTACTGGATAAATTATTCTTGGTTGTAGATCCTGGGTCTTCATCCTGTCAAATATTTTTTGCCAAGCCCTTCTGTCCTACATAGTTTCTTTTGAGAAATCAGCTGCCAGTCTTATAGGTGTTCCCTTATAAGTAACTATCTATTTTTCTCTTGCTGCTTTTAATATTCTTTCTTTGTATTTAACCTTTGGCATTTTAATTATGATGTGTCTTGGTGTGGGCCTCTTTAGAGCCCTGATTTTGGGAATTCTCTGAGCTTCCTGGGGTTTTATGTCCATTTCCTTCACCAAGTTAGGGAAGTTTTCCATCATTATGTCTTCAAACAGCTGTTCAACATCTTGATTTTCTTCAGTTACGCCGATTAGATGAATATTTGGACCCTTAATAGTGTCCCACATGCTCCTTAGTTTTATAGCCTTGGCATCTTATCTCTTGCCATTCTGATTGAGTGTCCTGATTGGCTTTCCTGTCCTCTAGATATGGTATTTGATCCCTCTTCTTTATTCACTTTGTTTATTCCATTTAATATACTTCTCATCTCAGATAATCTCTTCTTCATTTCAGACTGGTTCTTTTTTATAATTTCCATTTCTATTTTTATGTTTTTCATCTCTTTGTTGAAGTTCTCACTAAATTTAACCAAAAGTTCACTGAGTATCTTTATAACCAGTGTTTTGAACTCTGCATCTGTTAGATTATTTGACTCTATTATATCTGGATCTCTGTTCTGTTCTCTCATATGCTTTCTGCTTCTTTGTCCTACCATTTTGGTTGCCTTTCCATGTCTATTTCTATGTCCTAAGCAAATCTCCTAAGTCTCCCAGTCTTATTAGATGGATTTGTGAAGTAGATGTCCAGTGGCACAGTCCTGCAAGGGGTTCAGCTGCAGGCCAAATTTAGCCCAAGCCTATACCCCGCCAAGTCCACCTGTTAAGATTCAGCAAGCAATCCACAGATGCTGTGTTTATAGTTGCCTCAAAAGGCCACACCAGAAACTGAGGCCAGCTGCCTCCACCAGTGTGAGTCTCAGCAAGGAGCACCTGACTTGCTGAGGATATATCTGGATGTGGCTTGGGTGGGAACAAGAGTTCGGGTAGGCGGGGTTTCAGGGAATCCTCTGGGTGGAGTGACCTCTGTTATCCAGTTTGATGACATCACAGCTATGGCAGTGCTGTGTCCAGCGCACTGGTGTGGGGAGGGCTCAACAGAGGAACAATGGATACCACTGGCACTTCTGTACAGAGCGAGTCTCACCTAAGCCCTCACTCTGACAATGTCTCCCTATAAGTTCCTGGTGTCCCCTGCGCATTAGCCAAATTGGCACAGGTGCTCAGAGCAAGCAGGTCCATCACCGCGAAAATTCGCTCGCAGACATGGCCCCTTTAAGAGGCACTGCCGCTGCCTCCGTCTCACTCAGCCACTCGAGACCGGGCAGCCCTGTGTCCTCGCCCTGTCCTACATTCTGCTATCACAGGGTTATCCTGGACTTCTCCCTAGTTGTATGGATTGTTCCTCTAGATCCCAGGTGATTTTTCCTTGTTGCTGCTCCTTATTACTGTTACAACTTTGATTTGGTCGTCAGAGAGATGAACAGAGACTCTATCGTCTAAGCTATTTTTTTTCTCTCCTCTTTTTCTGGAGTTTTATTCAGGACATGTTTATCTGTCTCATTTTGGCCACCTCCTTCTGTTTGTTTCTATATATTAGGTAGAGCTATTGTGTCTCCTGGTCTTGGCAGTGGCCTTATGTAGTGAGAGTCCTGTGGGGCCCAGTGGTGCATCTCCCTGGTCACCTGAGCTGGGTGCTCCAGGTGTATCCCGTGTGCGTTTTATGTGCCCACCTATTGTAGTTGAGCCTCGATTGCTCTTGGCACATTTTTGAGGGAAGGATTGACGTTCAAAAACTTCCGATCGCTTTGTAAGCCACTTGGAAAAAAATCTAAAATCTTATCATGACCTACAAGGCATAATATGGCTTGGTTCCTGGCTCCCTCTCCAACTTTATTTATATAGGAAAATTCTCTCTCTCGTTCAACTCTTTTGCCCTTACTCAAGCATACCAAGCAGCTTCAGTTTCAGGACACTTGTACTTGCTGTCCTACCTCAGCCTGGAGCACCTGTCCCTTGGTAAGCTCTATAGCTTACATCCTCACTTCCAGGGAGAATTTCCCATCAATCTATGTTCTCTTACATGCCTCATTTTTCTTCGCTGCATTCATCACCATCTGATGTATCACACAACTATTTTCTACTCTGTCTCCCTCCACTGCAAAGTTAAGTTCTATGAGAGCAAGGACTTTGCTTTATATTCGGGTGTATCTCTAGTGCCTAGAACAATGCCTGGTTTAAAGTCAGCATTCAGGAAATATTATTGAATGAATTTGGTGAATGAATGAATGACATGGAAAAATATATTTATATATTAAGTAAAAAAAGAGATGTAAAACAATATGTATAGGATGCTTTCATGCTTTATATACCCACTGAAGAATAGGAAAAAAAAAAAGAAAGATGTCAATCAAACTGTTAGCAGTATTTAAATTGTCAGTGGCTTATAGGTATTTTTTATAGTTGCTTTTCTATTTTGTAAAGTTTTTGCGATGGACAAGTATTATTTGTATACTAATAAAAAAGTGTATGCTTTTTTAAAGTAATAAATAGAAACCTACCAGTCCATTTAAGTTCTTTATGTTGTTTCTTCCTAAAGACAATATCCTCAAGTTTTCTGCAGTGGAAAAAAAGCAATTTTTTGTTTATGAGAATCATATTACACAATTGTAAATCTAATATAATAAAAATTTAATAAATTTTATATAATAAATATCCTTATATAATGAGTAAGAGAGATCATATTCATAAAAAGTGGTAATCAGGAAATAACATTGACCTATCATCTAGGGTAAACACTACAACTATAATTTCACATCATGCCAATATTAAATTTAAAAATGGTTACCTATTTGGAATTCATGGTCTTAATTTTCTGGCTAGTAAAAATATTACAGGGATAAAATAAGAGTAAAAAAAATTTGAAGTTTAATTTTGAGAGCATATATATTTCGAATCTCTTATAAAATGAGGACTCACACCAGAAAACAGAAACACACTTATGTATAGTCCAATCTCACTCCACAAAGGATTAGGAGTGAAAACAATTGACTTAGTATTTTAAAAATCTTTTGCTTTCAATCTTTTAAATAACTAAATTGTGATTTGGTTTAAAAGATGCCTATTTGTATTTTTTACAAGGCTGTTTCTATTTGTACATCTATAGGCTATTTCTGGAAAAGAAAAAAAGAAAGTAGAAACAGTGGTTGCTTTGGAGAGGAACTGAAAGTATATGGTCAGAGGAAGATTTATTTTTCATTAGAACCTCTTTTGATCTATTTGCATAAAACCATGTGCATGTATTATTTTTTAAAATTAAAAAAGATTTCTAGTAAAACACGGGAAATCTCATTTCTGTTCTAAAAAACTGTTGTGATTGCTTATGCATAAGTTATACATTTAGTTTTTGCAGTGGAAACTTCTATAACTACACTGTCCAATATGGTAGCTACTAGCCACATGGTTTTTTAAATGAAATACTATTAAAAACTCAGTTTCTCAGTTACACTAGCCACATTTCAAGAGTTTAATAGCTGTGTATGGCTAGTGGCAACTGTTTTGGGACCGTGCAGACATTTCTATTGGATGGCACTGTTCTATAACATCCATAATTCAGTGATTAAGAATACAAATCCAGTTATAGAGTTCCCAATCAAACTCTATAGGGAAGCAAACAAACCTCTTTGAATCTCAGTTTCACATGTAAAATGAAGAAATACAACGTTTATTTTATAATAATATAAGCATTAAATGAGATATTTGTCTAAAACATTCGGCATAATGCTTATTCCATAGTAAGTACATAATAAATGATGTGTGTATATGTGTTGTATATATGTGTGTCATGCATATATGGTTATATATACTTTGGTTTTAATTTATTTAAGAAATTATTTTAAATTTTCTTATGAAAAACATTTTTCAGAACAAGAAATTTTATGAGTGATTTAATTCATGCAAAATGGTTTAATTACTGAAAAAAGAATTGGGTTCCCCCAAATCCAAATGTTGAAGTTCTAAACCCCATTACCTCATAATGTGACTCTATTTGGAGACAGGGCTTTTAAAGAAGTAATTAAGGTAAACTGGTAGAATCCAATAGGACTGGTACCCTTATAAGAGGAGATGAGAAACAGAAATAGACAGAAACAGAGGAAAGACTGTGTGGAGACAAGGTGAAAAAGATGGCCATATACAAACCAAGGAGAGAGGCCTAAGAAGAAATCAATCCTGCTGACACCTGAATCTCAGACTCTAGCCAATAGTAAGAAAATAAATTTCTGTTGCTTAAGCTACCAAGTTTGTGGGATTTGCTGTGACAGCCCTAGCAAACTAATAAATCCATATAACTTTAAATGTGTGAAAATTAATTATTTAAGAAAAGCACATAATCGATTATTCTCTAAAGTTTCTTGATATGAAAAAATTATTATTTTAGTTTTTTCTATTTCATGCAGGATAAAAAGCTTACTTAAAAAGTTATTCATTCAACACATAATTATTGAGCATCAACTACATGCCAGGAACA